CAATGTTACTCTAATTAAAGTTGCGTTTTTATTTGTTATAAACGTACAACTTTACAAATCAAACATTAATATCCTCTTTTTCGGAATCATCGTTTTCACTTTTTGTTATTTTTTAATATTTGTTATTTAAAAAAAAAATACATACACGATATGTTATTCTTCTAATTAAAACATATTTTTTGAGTTTGAGAAGACCCATAATATCGAAAATATTCGACTTACATTAAAAACACTAAATGTTTTTTTTTTGGTCAAAAACACTCAATCTAACTATCTAAATGTCATGCAGATGAGGGTCGAACCCAAGAGCTTTAATCTATCCAATGTACTGATAACCGCTACACTATTTACGGAAATTTGTTACCCTCAAATTAATATTATAATTTTGATGCCTAAAATTGTTACGGCTTCACTTGTTTTAGACCAGAACTGGCCCTGATCATAAAGATTAAATTTTGTAGATTAAAATATATTTATTTATATAAGAGATATCATTTGATCTTTATTATAATTTATTCTGTATAGTATAAAAAATGATTATTTTTAAATAGTATTTTATTTCCTTGTTTGACGTAAGTCAAAAATCAAGTTCGTGATAATGAGACGGACGGCTAACGTAGACACGATAAGTATATGATTAGTGGGGAGCATTAATTGTAGGATGAATAAGATTAAAGAAATAATTTGATTAATCAATTACTTGCAAAAACGTGAATCGTTTAAACTTAATTTAATTTTCTTTCAACAAATGCATTAATTAGTAGAGATCAACAAATAATAAATATTTCTAAATTTGTCACGGATTTTGAATATTTTAAAAGTTTTGGCTATGAATTAATGATCCAAAAGTTCTAGTGATCTATTGATTCCTTTGTTAAAACTACAAAACTACATGCCATGTTATAATTTGCTTGGTGATATCGGTGGTATTAAGTCACAGACCAATAAATTACATATTCCTGTTTGTACTAAAAGTTTTTAAAAGGGAAATTTGTAGAAAAATCAATTCATATTTATACTTAATAAACAATGATTCATGATAATGAGACGGACGAGATCGTACGAGACGGAATACGTATGGGCTTAGTGGGGAGCATTGTTTGTATGATGAACAACGTTAAAATTAATTTGATTACCTGATTACTTTCAAAAACGTGTACCATTTTAATTAATGGTTTTTTCCAACAAATGTATTAATTATGACAACTGGAGGTAGAAGAAATAAAGATACTAGTATGATAAAATAATAACGCGAGGTTAGAGGTAGAGATCAATAAATATCACAAAGGAGACCATGCATGTGTGTGTCGCTTTTGCTAATTTCGTGTGGTTAGTAACAATACTGTATTATTTATTCGATGACCAAATTCACCGTTTTTTACTGGGCCCATTTCTTCATTTACACGGGACGACTTTTGGATTTTGGCCCATTAAACCTCATTCATCAATGTTTACTCGATGTTTACACGGGACG